GTCCCACAGGGTTCTAAAATCAAGGTGTCAGCAGAGCTGGGTTCCTTTGTGGACATTTGGAGAGGACACATTTCCACACCTATTCTGCTTCTAGAGTCTGTGCAAATTCTTTGGCTAGGGTCCCCTTTCTCCATCTTCAAAGCCAACAATGTCTCTGACCACCGTGGTAGGGGTGGTGAGTTTTCTGGGCTTTATGTTCGTAGACTCAAGGTATGTAACTTTAATCACATCTACAAAGTCGCTTTTGCCACGAAAAGCAACACATTCACTGGTTCCAGCATTAGAACATAGATTTCTTTCTTTCTTTCTTTTTTTAAGATTTTTAAAATTTGACAGAGAAAGATCACAAGTAGGCAGAGAGAGAGGAGGAAGCAGGCTCCCTGCTGAGCAGAGATCCTGGTGTGGGACTCCATCCCAGGACCCTGAGATCATGACATGAGCGGAAGGCAGAGGTTTAACCCACTGAGCCACCCAGGCGGCCCTAGAACACGAATTTTTTTAGGGGCCTTTATTCTGTCCCCAAATCCTTAAATTTACGAGCCCCAAAGCTACTGACCACGGCCAAATTTCTTAAAAACCTTTTTCCTCCCCCACCCATTTCCAAAGCTGCAACCCCTTTTGCCTGTCCTTCCTCACTCAATACTACCCCGGTCCGTCCCCCCTCCCTTCCTCCCCCCGCCAAACTGCATCCCAGGCCCTGCTCTGAGCTGCCCCCTTTATCCCCGCGCCCTCTGCCTCCTGGGCCTGGGAATGGGGGTGGGGACGCGGGAGCAGGAGCGCCCTCTGCGGGCGGGAGTGGCGCGCACCTACTTTAGGCGACCTCTGCCTCCGTCCCCCCTGCCCCACTGATGGCCAGGCCCACGGGTCCCCCCACTTCTGTCTCCTCCTAGACCTCGTCCATCGCAGAGCCACTGGCTGTGACGACCTCGCCACGCGGCGAGGATCCCAGGTGCTCTCCATGCCCGAGCCCGAGCCCGAACCCGAGCCCACGCCCACCCTTCCGAACCCTGGAAGGGCTTTCCCGCCGCCACCCCCATCCCCCTCCTCCTCCCGCCTCCGCCTCGCCCCCTTCCGCCTGCGCCTCCCCGCGGGCAGACCTCTCCATCCCCGCCCCGCGCCGTCGCCCAGGTGCAGGGCGCTCGCGGGAGGCCGGCCGGCGAGGGACGCGGGGACCTGGCGCCGGAGTGAGTGCGGGGCGCGGGCCGGCGACGAGGTTGCGGCGTGGGTGGCCGGCGTTCTCTCCGGAGGTACTGAATTGCTGCGGGTAGCGGCAGGCCTGGAGCTCCTCCCTAGCCCCCGGGACTCCGAGGGGGAGCTGGGCGAGCAGCAGGCCCGGGGCAAGTGGGCCTCGCTCCGGTCTCGAGAAGGCAGGGCCCTCCGCCCCCTGCTCTCTGCTCCGCAGCCCTTACCTCACCGTCCCCAGCTCTCGGAGAGTCCCAGTTAGCAGAGCATGCGGCACCTCCACTAAATGCGCATTAATGAGTCAGCCTGGGCCGCGCGTTACTGCACATGGAAATGATGAAACGCTCGTGATAAAATATCAAGTGAAAACCTCGAGATTTAAGAGGGCCTTAATAGAGTACTTCCAGAATGTTATGCGTGTAGTTTGTATTCCTGTAAATACCCAGAAGAGGCTGGTGAGAAATACTTCGTATTGTGAACAGTGATGTTACATAATACCAACCTTAACTTGGACTGCCTTAACAAAATACCATAGACCGGTGACCTAAACAACAAATTCATTTCCTAACACTTCTGGAGACTGGGAAATCCAAGAGCAAGTGCCAGGAAGCTGGGTTTGGAGCCTTTTCTCTTGGCTTGGCGGTGGCAGCCATCTCAAGGGAGACAAACTAAGCTCTCTAGTGTCTCTTCCTCTTCTTTTCCTTCTTTTTAAAAGATTTTATTTATTTATTTATTTATTTAGAGAGAAAGAGTGTGGGAGTGGGGGCAGAGGGAGAGAATGTCAAGCAAACTCCAGGCTGAGCATGGAGCCCAACTTGGAGCTCTATCTCATGACCCTGAGATCAGGACTCCAGGTGAAATGAAGAGTTGGTTGCCCAGCCCACTGAGCCACCCAGGTGCCCCACTCTGTGTCTCTTCTTACAAGGGCACTGATCCCATGGTGGGAGACCTGCCTTCATGACCTCATCTAACCCTGCTCACCTCCCAAAGACCCTATCAAACAAATACCATTACCCTGGGGGTTGGGCTTCAACATAAGAATTTAGGAGGAAATTGAAAACCTACAGTCAGTATCAGTACCTTCTAGGTGGTATGTCAGAGTGGTTAAGAATTTGGGCTGTGGAGCCAGGCTGCCTGAATTTGAATCCCAGCTGCTCTGGTTACCAGTGTTTGCCCTTAGGCAAATCACTTCCCTCACTAGGCCTCAGCCTCCCCACCTGAGCCATCACTATGTGCCAGGCTCTGTTCCAAGTATCCACCAGGAACTAATTCCTTATTCCTCATAACAGTTTTTTTTTTTTTTTAAGATTTTACTTATTTATTCGACAGAGAAAGAGATCACAAGTAGGCAGAGAGGCAGGCAGAGAGAGAGGGGGAAGCCAGCTTCCCACTGAGCAGAGAGCCCGATGTAGGGCTCCATCCCAGGACCCTGAGACCATGACCTGAGCTGAAGGCAGAGGCTTAACCACTGAGCCACCCAGGCGCCCCCTCATAATAGTTCATTATCATCATCATCACCCATCAACATCCCCTTGGTACCAAGGAAAGAACTTTACATTTAATTTGCATTAAATCCCCACAAATACCAAAGAGATTATAGTCCCACAATTTTTACAGATGAAGAAGACAGGGTTCAGGCACATGAAGTGGACTAGTCACAGTCAGTCTACTAATAATTGACAGACACAGGATTCAAACTGGTTCTTCTTGAAACAAGGCCTCTTAATAATTCCCATAATCTTTTGTCTCTGTGAACCCAGATCAAAGAACCAACCATTTCCTTAAGTTACTGTGACCAAACGAATTCGGAGTTGCTAGCTCCTTGGTGAGTCACAGATAAACCAGGTGGAGTTGTCCCACAAAGTAAACTTTATTTGCAGCAAATAATGAGATCACAGGAAATAGCTTTCAAAGCTGGATGAAAGAGAGACAGACAGACAGGGAGGTGGGGATGGGTTCCTTTTGTTTAGGGTTAGGATGAATATTTAGATAGGGAGGTCTTGTCATCATGTGTAGAGGCGCGCATAAGGTCCCACATGTACATTAAGGAAACACGCCTATACATTGTTTGTTATGTAAATGAGGCTGAGGCCCTTCCTTGGGTGGAGATTTTAGTATTATAATGAGGTAAAGGTCATTGCCAGGCATTCCGAAGGTTACTACCCCCTATCTGAGCGGAAGTGAGTCACCGGTTTAGTTCAAACAGTCTGGGTGGTCTGAGAGGTGTTGTCAAGGCCCTTGCCAGTCACCTGAGGGTGGTTTCAGGTTTCATTTGCCTTACCTACGACCCAACAATCACACTACTAGGTATATACCCTAAAGATACAAATGTAGTGATGTGCACCCCAATGTTTATAGCAGCAATGTCCACAACAGCCAAACTATGGAAAGAGCCTAGATATCCATCAACAGATGAATGAATAAAGAAGATGTAGTGTGTATCTGCAATGGAATACTACGCAGCCATCAAAAAGCCAAAATCTTGCCATTTTCAATGATGTGGATGGAACCAGAGGGTATTATGCTAAGTGAAATAAGTCAATCAGAGAAAGACAATTATCATATGATCTCTCTGATATCAGGAATTTGAGAGGCGGGGGCGGGGGGGGTAGGGAAGGAAAAAATGAAACAAGATGGGATCCGGAGGGAGACAAACCATAAGAGACTCTTAATCTCAGGAAACAAACTGAGGGTTGCTGGCGGGGTGGGGGGGGTGAGGGGGTAAGGATAGGGTGGTTGGATGATGGACATTGGGGAGGGTAAGTGCTATGGTGAGTGCTGTGAAATGTGTAAGACTGATGATTCACAGACCTGCACCCCTGAAGTAAATAATACACTATATGTTAATTTTTTTAAAAAATGGTACTCCGGAAAGAAGAGATCTAGCTGGTGACATTATCACATGAGGGACCTTTCAAGGCTGGATAATTGAAGGGACAGATCATTACCGCTGGGTGGCTTCCTGTGGCCAGGAAAATAAGAATCACTTCATAGTACTAATAAAGTTTATTGAGCACTTTTACTATGTGCCAGGCATTGTGCTAAGCGCTTTATAAATTTACCTTCCTTAATCCTGGTGACAACCATAATCCATTTTACAGATGGAGAAGTAGAGGCTTCAAAACTCTTCATAGAATACCTAAGTCCGGGGCACCTGGGTGGCTCAGTGGGTTAAAGCCTCTGCCTTCGGCTCAGGTCATGATCCCAGGGTCCTGGGATCGAGCCCCGCATCAGGCTCTCTGCTTGGCAGGGAGCCTGCTTCCCTTCCTCCCTCTCTGCCTGCCTCTCTGCCTACTTGTGATCTCTGTCTGTCAAATAAATAAATAAAATCTTAAAAAAAAAAATACCTAAGTCCACCCCAGTGAGTCCAGTGGTGGAGACAAGACTAAAATCCAAGTCTGTTCCCCTTCAAAGCTCGCATTCTTAACCCCTGTGGATATGCTGCCTGGCAAGAATTATGTCTATAAAGAGAACTATGCCATTTAAAAATCAATATGTCCTTGGCAATATTTAGTGCCCACCATTAATGTTATAACTGAGTTCCAAGGGTATCACACCATTTTATTTTATATTTTGAAAGATTTTATTTATTTATTTGCCAGAGAGAGACATAGCGAGAGAGAGAGAAAGAGGGAGGGAGGGAGAGAGAGAGAGAGAGAGAACAAGCAGGAGGAGTGGCAGAGAGAGAAGCAGGCTTCCCACTGAGCAGTGGGACTCCCCAGTGCGGGACTCAATTCCAGGACCCAGGGATCATGACCTGAGCCAAAGGCAGATGCCTGATGACTGAGCCACCTAGGTGCCCCTGTTGCCCCATTTTAAAGAATCTAAAAGAACATGGATCCATGAAAATAGATACTGGAAATAGAACAGTTTTACTCAACGGTATCCATCTTGATTCCCTTCTCCCGTTTTAAGATACCTGAGGCACTTTAAGCAGAGAAGGGTGTCAGCAATATTTGCCAATTTTTAGTGGGGGATATGTGATCTGCTCCTTCAAAAGACATCTGTGTATTGGGTTTCAGGGCAAGGTGCTATTTTCAGAATCCAGGTAGAATCTAACACAGTAAAACAATGCCAAGGGAAAAGGAAGGAAAACAAAAACCTAAAGGAACACCCCTGCCCATCGTTCCAATTCTTTGGAAGTTCCTGAAAACGTATGAAAAGCTCTGTGCCCAGACGCAGACATCTGTGTGTCCAGCCATCAGACAGGACTTGAAAACCAGCATCAACAACGAACAGGTTCTTCGGAAAGTGAGTGTGTGGCCTTCTTTGCTTACTCCTCTGGGAAGTGAATGGACTAGGGTTTTGCCCCATGAACACGGGCCCTCAGTCATTACTCTGTTCCTGCCTGCCTGCCTGTCTGAAGTCCAAAGCCTGCTCCTGGCACTGGTGCTCTGCTCAGCATTTCTGCCTCCCTGCTTCTACCTTGAATCTACCCACCCCAGTCCTCTGAGCAGCACTGCCCTTTCTTATACCACACCTGGAGTGGCCAACCAGCCCCTCCCACTCTACCTCTGAAAAGTCCCGCACAGAAGACCACTTTGGGCATCTGGCAGGACATCCATGCCCAGCACTCCCACCCCACCACGGGATCCCTCCAAGGGAATGTTTGCTTCCCTCGACAGTGGTGTCCCTGTCATCAGGCCAGACCCCCGCAACTCACCTATCCTTCCCCTCTCACTTGGAGCGAGATCAGCAAACACATAATTCTAACCCCCAAAGTACAGGATTTCAGAACAAAAAAATCAGGTGTCATATCTTTTCTGAGATTGACTCTAGGGGTCGATTGGGAGGGGGAAAGAAGAGAGGCCAGCTCTGAAATGAAATGGTCTATTTTGGGAAGGGGTGCCTGCTAGTCCAGAAGCGGGGGGAGTGGGCAGTGCTCGAACTCAAGGACAGACTGGCCTGCTCTCCAGCTTTCCTGTGGCCAGCCCAGAAAGACAGTCCGTATTGTAATAATCAAACACCTACTGGTGTCCTAAAATGCTGAGCGCTAACCAAGAGAATAAGTTAAAGTAATTAGAGATGGGTGCTGAAAAAGAATCATTATTCTAAGGAGAATTTGACCCAGATCCATCCTACCCATATTTTTCCTGAAGTTTTTTGGGGGATGGGAGGGTGATTACATTGTACCCCACATAAAAAGAACCTCTGAAAGTCCTCCCTAACCACCATCCCTTTTTGCCAAACTTCCACTTCCCAAGGGAGCTGCCACCTCCCTCTCCCCATTCACCCCTTTGGACAGGAGACTTTCTCTCCTAGTCTCCTGTCCCCTCTGCCCTCCTAGGTCTTTCTAATTCCTTCTCTTGTAGTTATTGCTTCTCTGGACTCCCCCCATACATCTCCATGCTCATCCCAGGGCAAGAACTTCTCAGAGCCATCTTTTTGTGATAAAATAATTACAACTTTATTTTTTTCTATTGTACATCTTATAATTAGCCTCTACTAAATGATAAGAGTTCATCATAAACCTTGTTCAAATTTGTAGTCCCTTCAGCAAACATTTTAAATTAAATGTTTCAAATTTGTAGACCCTTTCTAAACATTTTAAATTAAAATCACTATCAGAAATGCAAATAACATCAGGACCCGATGTATAAATACTGGTGTGAATCATAAGACCATATGGGCTGTTTATGTTGGGGGGGGGGCCACTCTGGTTGGGTCTCCATTTTGATATTGAGCATCACTAAAGTAAGAGTCTCATGAGATAATTATTTTTTTACTGCATAGGATCGCTCAGATAATTTCTCTTCTGTTCTATTTCATTAAAGAAAGAGAGAAAAAAGCTGGTTACAACCTACTCAATTGATTTCTGACCCAATAATGAGTAGAAACCTGATGGAAAAATCTGTGCCCTGTAAGATTGCTTTTGCATATGGCAAGAAATTCATAAGTTTGTATTGAATTACCAACCAGTGCACGTGTGACCCAAAGCTAATTGCCTTTTCCAAATGTTCTGATACTGTCTGATGACAGCACTCTTTCTCTATGCATGGACATCTCTTTATGATTCCCACCTGTACTTTTTTTTCTGACACTCCAGTTTATGCTTGTAAGACCTGAAGACTCCCCAACAAGCGTCCTACCCATTTCCTTAGAACCTTTGCTCATGACAATTCGAGATGAGTGTTATATGCTGGGGAAAGAGATCTGTATCTGGAGCCTTCAACTGAGCAACCCAGAGATTGCCAGACTGGTGAGTCATGCGTTTTAGAAGTATTCCTTTAATTAAACTTAAAATTGAATATAAGCATAATAGTACGTATTCCAGCTATAGTTCATTTGGTTGTTGACTGATATGCTCTAAGCTTTTCTTTTAAAAAAAAACAATGTATCTTTTAATGAAACATTTCAAAGTTATGTAAAAGTACAAAAACACAGGGGCGCCTGGGTGGCTCAGTGGGTTAAAGCCTCTGCCTTCAGCTCAGGTCATGATCTCAGGATCCTGGGATCGAGCCCCACATCGGGCTTTCTGTTCTGCGGGGAGCCTGCTTCCCCTCTCTCTCTGCCTGCCTCTCTGCCTACTTGTGATCTCTTTCTCTCTCTGTTCAAATAAATCAATAAAATCTTTTTTAAAAAGTACAAAAAAACAGGTAAAACTATAATGTTTGGTTATCAAACATTTGATAACCAAACATTATAGTTTTACCTGTTTTTTACTTTATAAAATGCAACATACAGTATGCATTCTTTTGTGTTTCTCTTTGCCTGTACAACATTGTGTTTTTATGAGTCATCATATTTTACTTTTGTATAGCTATAGTTGATGCATTTTCATTGCTATATAGTTTTTTTTAAAGATTTTATTTATTTATTTGAGAGAGGGAGAGAGAGCACAAGCGGAGGAGGGAGAGGGACAAGAAGGCTCTGCATTGAGCATGGAACCTGATGTATGGTTCCATCCCATGACCCTGAGATCATGACCTGAGCTGAAATCAAGAGTGAGACGCTTAACTGACTGAGCCCAGTTAAGGTGCCAGGTGCCCCTATATCTTTTTCTACTATATGAATATACCATAATTTCTTTATCCTACAATTCAACAACAACAAAAAACAAACAACCTCATTTTAAAATGGGTAAAGGACTTAAGTAAACATTCTCCAAAGAAGGGATACAAATAAATCATAAACACACAAAAGATGTTCAACATTAATCTTTAGGGAAATGCAAATCAAAACTGCAATAAGATACTACTTCATGTCAACTAGTATGGCATGAGGTAGTATCTCATATAGTAGTATGGCTACTACTATAAAAAAAATAGAACATAATGTGTTGACAGGACATGGACAGCACAGGAAAACCTGTGCACTGTTGGTGGGAATGTAAATTGGTGTAGCCACTATGGAAAACAGGATTGAAGTTCCTTAAAAAATTAAAAATGGAATTACCATATGATTCAGCAATTCCCACTTCTGGACATCTACCCCAAAGAATTGAAAGCTAGATCTCAAAAAGATATTTGTACACTGATCTTCATGGTAGCATTATTCCCAATAGCCAAAGGTAGAAACAATCCAAATGTCCATTAACAGATGAGTAGAAAACAAAATGTTGGATATACATACAATAGAATATTATTCAGCCTTTAACAGGAAGGAAGTTGTGACATAGGCTACATGTAGGAACCTTGAGGAACTTATGCTAAGTAAGATAAGTCAGTCACAAAAGGACAAATACTATATCATTGTATTATAGGAAGTACCTAGAGTAGTTAAGACTCATAGAGAAAGAAAATAAAATGGCGGTTGCCAGACGTTGTGGGGGAGGGGAGAATGGGAGTTATTTTTTAATGGGTACAGAGTCTGAGTTTTACAAGATGAAAAAAGTTCTGGAGATGGATGGTGTTGAGGGTTGTACAACAACAGTGAATGTCTTTAATGCCACTGAACTGTACCCCAAAAATGGTTAAGATGGTAAATTTTATCTGTGTATTTGACCACAATTCAAAATAAATTTTTAAAAAGGTATCTTTAATGCATAGCCAGAATTTATAGTTGTTTTTATTGAAAGTGTCAGTCCAGGGACCCAGTCCATTTAAGCAGGCCATAGTATGCTGTCCGTGCATATCAACAGTGATCCTTAGCAGTTCTTTAAAATGTAGCCCTCTTGGTCACCTGGAGGCCGTTGAGGAATTTTGTGGTCAATGGATGTGGTCTTGCGCACACAGGCCTAGTGCCCCAGGAGTGACACTGCAAACCACTGGTTAAGACCGTCGGGACCTGGGTCGAGAGCCTGTTTTGCACAGACCAGTGTTACCATAGACAATGACGTCCCACACTGCCTCCTCTGTCAGAAACACAGCTTGCGAAATCCAGCCCAGCACTTAGGCTAGGTGTTTTCTCATAAAAGAGACCTCAAACGCCAGCTCTGTAGTTAAGGCTGCAAGGGCTCTTATATTCTCAGCCAAACTATAATTTGGAACCCTATCTCTGACCAACATGTCATTGCCTCAGGAAACCCTAAATCCTTCCGACCCCACCAAAGCCTCTTTTAGGTTTAAATTCTAAACTGAAGAAATCCTTAGGTTGTGGTGATTCTCACTGCTAAAAGGTGGCCTTTGTGATTTGTAGCTTTAAATACCTCCCTCTGTCAGGTAGGGATTTAGTTGTCACTGGGATCCTTTGTTACCACACAAAATGTCCTTGCCATAGGCCCCTCTGTTCAGGAGACTGAGAGACCTTGACATGGTTCCAAATGTTCATGTGTTGCCCCCAGTCCCGTGGCTTCACCATGAGAAACACCTTGTTGCTAAATTTCCATGGTCTAGCTCTTTTTTTTTTTAAGATTTTATTTTAGAGAGATTGAGAGAGAGTTTGAGCACGGGAAGGGACAGAGAGAGGAGGAGAGAAGCAGACTCCCTGCTGAGCACGGAGTTCGACATGGGGCTCCATCCCAGGACCCTGAGACCATGGCCCCGAGACCATGACGTGAGCTAAAATCAAGAGTCCAACACTTGGGACGCCTGGGTGGCTCAGTTGGTTGGACGACTGCCTTTGGCTCAGGTCATGATCCTGGAGTCACGGGATCGAGTCCCGCATCGGGCTCCCAGCTCCACGGGGAGTCTGCTTCTCTCTCTGACCTTCTCCTCGCTCATGCTCTCTCTCTCAAATAAATAAATAAAATCTTTAAAAAAAAAAAAAAGAGTCCAACACTTAACCAACTAGGCCACCCAGGCGCCCCTGTGTGGTGTAATTTTGAGGAGACCTCTAAATCCTAATACCAGTAACAATGAATACTTAGGAGGTAATCTGACTATTATAATTTTTGCCTAGTTATACAAAGGTTGGCATGGCGGCACTTCCCTATTGAAAGGACACAACCCTAGGAGGACAAATCTGTGGGTTAGAATATCAACATCTGTATTAGTCTGCTGGGACTACCATAACCACAGGTTGCACGGCTTAAACAACAGAAACTCATTTCCTCATAGTTATGAAGGCCTGGAAGTCTGAGCTCAAGGTGTCAGCAGGGTTGGTGACTTCTGAGGCCGCTCTTCTTGGCTTGCAAATGGCCGCCTTTCCCCTGTATTTTCATGTCTTCCCCCTGTACATATCTGTGTCCAGATTTCCTTCTTATAAGAAAGCCAGTCCTACTGGGTTAGGACCCACCCTGAAGACCTTATTTTAACTTAGGTAGCTCTTTGAAGACCCTGTTTCCAAATACAGTCACATTCTGAGGTTAGGACTTCAATGTATGAATGAGGGGGGACACAATTCAGCCCCCAATGACAGAGAAAGATGAGCTGCAGTATATCTCATCTCATCACAAGGCTTGGTGTTTCCCATTTAATTCTTCACATTGCCTTTTAAAGGGCAGTTATTTTATTTTCATGCCATTTTCTCCTTGGGGGAATTAGAAAGTTGTCCTAAAGGCGAACTGTTGAGGTAATGAACATAATGGGCTTTTGGGTTACATGAAAACACAGAGCACATTGTCTCCCTTGCGTGAGCACGGTTTCACCTCGCGTTCCTAGGCTTCGCTTCTGGAGTTGAAGGGGAGTGCCGCCTGCCCCTTTACCAGCCTGGAGCTCACTGACTGCAGGATGGATCTGTGGTCTCTCCAGAGACTCGGGAGGGCTCTGCCACGCAGCCATCTGCGCTCTCTCGTCCTCGATTACAGCAGGTGAGGCTGGAATGCAGGCTTCCTTCAGGGCTCTGCCGCTGTTTGGCTGAGGGAGGCAAAGGCAGGGAGGGCAGTGGCCTGGTTCCTTGTGCCTCATCTGGTCATCGCTGGAAGCGGATACTCCAAAACCTCCTTAGAGCTAATGTTCCTGAGTACATGTCAGGGTTCTCAAAAAGAGGCTTTATTCATTCATTTTTCCTTTCTTCTTCCCTCTCTCCTTCCCACCCCTCCTTCCTCCTTCCTTACTTTCCTTTTATTCATTTATTCTGTCAACAAATATTTGTCGACGGCCTGTTTGTGCAAGACACTGTGCTCTTCACTAAGGAAGATACAAATACATATAAGGCAATGGCCCTGAGCAAGGAAGCCCTTGGGATAGTAGAGAGGACTATGTGGAACGTGCTCTAGGTTACATGTAATACAAGGTAGAAAGCCTTGGTGTCAGGGTGCCTGGGTGGCTCAGTGGGTTGAGCCTCTGCCTTCAGCTCAGGTCATGATCTCAGGGTTCTGGGATAGAGCTCCGTGTCGGGCTCTCTGCTCAGCTGGGAGCCTGCTTCCCCCCTCTCTCTCTGCCTGCCTCTCTGCCTACTTGTGATCTCTGTCTGTCAAATAAATAAAATAAAATCTTTAAAAAAAAAAAAAAAGAAAGCCTTGGTGTCACAAAAAATGTCCATATAGATTTTAGTGGTGGTTTAGATAAGGGGAACCATAACCCCATTCAGGACAGGCCATTATTCACCAGGAGTGGAGGTGGGAGGAAAGGTGTGGGGTTAGGGAAGAAAAGAGCCCAGTCTTGTGAGGGGAGGGTCAGGGGGTAATAATAATAATAATAATAATACCAGCAAATTGTTATCGAGTGCTAACTGGGTGCCAAGCACAGTGCACAGTTTATGTCATTGACTCTCCCAACAGCAGAGGGATATGTACCATTACGTATGAACGTAGGATATATAATGACAGGTATGTACCATTTCTCTCCCTTGACTCTGTACAGATGAGGAAAGACTCAGGGGGATTAACTGGCTTGTTCAAGGCCATACAGCTATTAGGGATGGAGGCTGGATGTGAATCCAGCTGCCTCAATCTGAGCCCACTTCTGATCTGTGATACTAGACTGCTGGGGGGTCTTATAGTGTGCCATCCATAAATAATTTCAATTTGCTTATGTGATGTGGGATTAGGGATTAGGGCCCTGGTGGAGACAAGTCTATCCACAAAAGCTGAGGAGAGGGACTATCTCTGGAGTTTCTCCATGTTTCTGAGACGCTTGGGGGAGCCTCAGTCAGGGTTTCCTAACACAGGACAGCAGAAGGCCAGTGTCCTCAGGACACCCAGTAGTGACTGAGGATCAGCCTGGGAGTCTCCCAGCTTCCCACACTGCACTGGGCAGAACCAGCCCCCCTGCTGAGACCCTTCTGGACTCCAGCTCCTGCGCTGGACTCAGAGACCTGCACTGGCAGGAAGACAGAAGGGAGAAAAAAGGAATCCCCAATGTTAGGAAAAAACTTATTTTAATCACCTGGGAGGGGCAGGGAAAGAGGAAAGGGTGGAAGGAGAGGGAGAGAGTCTCCAGCAGACTTCATGCTGAGCCCAGAGCCCAGTGCGGGGCTCCATCTCAGGACCCTGAGATCATGACCTGAGCTGAAGGCAGAGGCCTAACCCACTGAGCCACCCAGCGCCCCAACACAGCTTATTTTCATTGTCAGTTGAAATCTGGCTATTCCTGAGACACCGTGAGTATCAGGGTTGGGTGGTTGGGAATCACCACTGAGACCTCAGCACTGGTAAAACTGTAGGTTCTTGGCCTCTGGGGACTTCCCTCCGGTTTTCTCTGGAAGGCTCTGCAGCCCACCAGGTAGGATTCCCTTCTTTCTCATATGCAGCTGCCTCCCCACACCCACCACAGTAGCTGCCTTCTGTAACTACTTGTTGGTTGAACTAGTAAATTGAAGAAGTCATTTCTGTTAATACGATGCACCTCATTTGAAAGTTCAGACATTGACATTCCAAATGTGCGGAAGATGTCCCTCTACCTTATTGTTGCTCAGTTTCCTGACCTAATGCCTGTACCCAGAGGCTGCGTGGGCGTGATGCCCATGACTGCTCTTCACAAAGTTGAAGGACTAGGTGAGAAGGTGAGGGGCAAGACAGGGCCAGGAAGGAGGGCCAAGAGATTGAATTTTCCCAGACTCTGCTCTCTCCTTACACAGCCTCCTGCTGCTGGGGTCTTCCCAGACCCCTTCATCCCTGCCAGCTAGGCAATCTCTCCTGTCTTCCAGGTCCAGATCTCTCTCTCTATCTGCTCCCTTGAATGGGTACTTCAAACCGTGCCCTGCTCCCTTCCCCTGGGAAACAGATTCTGGGTTCCCCTTCCTCCACATGCAGGCTACCCCAGCCCCCAGTCACCCAGCTCACCCCCTTAGCCCCGGCCGTGGAAACCCAAAGTAAAGATCCCGTAAGATCTGTTCCGCCGTAGGGAGTCCCTTAAAATGAATTATCCAACAGGTGACATAGATTTTATAAAAGTCACTTATTTGTTGCCATCATTTCTTTCTAGATTTGGAAAGGAAGAACTTGAGAGTCTTTTCTCAGGCCTGGAGAACAACCAGAGGCTTCAAGCCCTCAGTCTGCGCTACTGTGGTCTGGGGCCACAGAGCGGACCCTGGCTGGGTACCATCATATGCCAGACCGCCATCAGGTGAGACGCTCCCCCTGCTCACCTCCCACCTTCTGTCTTCAGTTACCTAACCAGCTTGGTTACGAAATCCGCTAACCCACCAATTCCTCCCAGCTTCTTCTCACTTTGTTTATAGCCTTCTTTTTCTACCCTCCAGTTATTTTTGTTTTCTTTTTCTTAATAAGAGAAAGATCCTTTAGTTACACTTGAGAATCAAGGGTATTGTGCTACAGGCATGTTTTGGGCCCTATGACATGGTCCCTAGGTCTGTTTTTTACAATGTGGTCTATTATGATTATTTACTATTTTATAACCAGGTCTAGTATTTTATGAGGTGAAGACCTCAAAGCCACATTTGCAGAGGTAAAAATAACATCAAATGACCAGTGTATTTCACCCCTCCCCAGTGAGCTGCACCTCGACGGCAATTTCTTACAATGTTCTGGAGCTCTGGCTCTCCTCAGACCCATTGCAGAGTATGCAGAGATGCAGGGGAGAAAGCAGCCAGCCACAGCCCCACCAGACCCTGGGAGTCCCCCTCATCAGCTGCAGGGTGAGTGCTGGGGACCTGGACCCTCCACTCTTTGGGCCTACCTAAAAGAAGGAAACTGCTTTGCAATTAAAAGTGACCTTCCTAGGGGCACCTGGGTGGCTCAGTGGATTAAAGCCTCTGCCTTTGGCTCAGGTCATGATCCCAGGGTCCTGGGATCAAGTCCCGCATTGGGCTCTCTGCTTAGCAGGGAGTCTGCTTCCTTTCCTCTCTCTCTGCCTGCCTCTCTGTCTACTTGTAATCTCTGTCAAATCAATAAATAAAATCTTTAAAAAAAAAAAAAAAAGTAACCTTCCTAGTGGTCAGTGGAAATTCTTTTTCCTGAGTCTGAATGAGAGCAGAATAATGGGCCCCCAGCAATGTCTTTGTCCTAATCCTCAGAACTGGTGATTATGTTACCTCACGTGGCAAAAGGGACTGTGCAGATATGATAACATTAAGGGCCTTGAGACAGGAGTTTATCCTGGATTCTCTGGGTGGGTCCAGTGTCATCACAGCGTCTTTGCGAAGAGACTTTTGCAAGAGATGTGACCGTGGAAGGAAAGGTTGGAGTGATGGGAGGAAGGGGCCAGCAGCCAGCCAAGGAATATAGGTGGCCTTGAGGAGCTGGAAAGGGCAGGGCAAGGAATCCTTCCCCAGAGCCACTAAAAGACACACAGTCCACCAAGGCCTTGATTGTGAGACCCATGTTGGACTTGGGACCTCCAGATCTGTAAGGTCATAGACTTATACTGTTTTAAGCCATTAAGTTTACAGTCATTTGTTCTAGCTGCGGTGGGGAACTCGTACGGCATGTTACTCACAACTCTTCAGTTCGGAGTGAGAACCACCCAGGCAGAATTCAAGGTAAACAGGGGCTTATTGGCTCACATAACTGAGATGTCCACAGCTGTCTTCAGAGACAGCTGAACTGAGGGGCTCATATGATGTCATCAGGAGACCCCAAGTTTGCTGCTTTTGACTCAGCCTCCCTTCCAAGTGTGGGCCTTCTATCCCAGTGTGGTCAGCCTTTCTCCAGGCAGGAAAGAGCAGTTGACACATCTGCCAGCTGTCCCAGGGCTCTAACATCATGACTTATTATCAGCCAGAAAGTGTGAGCCTCTGTCTTCCAGTGACTGTGGGTCAGATCCCCGGGGGAGGCTCTTGCTGGCCCTCCCTGGGTCACATACATACCTTGGACCAGTCCCTACAGCACAGGATGTGCTAAGGTATAATTAACCAGGACTGATCACATAGCCACCAGGGGGGAGAGGGGGAGCATACTGGTGGGCAGCCAAACCAGAACCCTGTGATTTGCCAGGGAGCAAAGTGGTGGTCCATCCAAGAAGCAGGCCGATGAGGAGGACAGATACAGGACAGACAAGAACAACAGGTGCTTACTCCCTTATAGAAGCCTGATCATTTCTTTTAATAGATCCCTAATACACATGTTCATGACCCATTTGAAAGCTGACTACTTTGAATCATCGTTAACAGAAACTATAGCAAGTGGCTAACAGCACAGACTTAGAATCAGGTCTGTGTTCAAATCCTACCCCAGCTGTGCATTAGTTTGGGCAAATTATCAAACTGATCTAACTTTAGCTTCTTCAGCTACAAATAAACATAACTACCTCAGAGTGTTCAGTGAGGAGGAAGTGGTGTAATGTGATGCAGTTAGCATGAAGCCTGGCATGTAGTAAGTACTTGAGGGACACTAATTATAATCGTTACTGTCATCATTATTATCATAACAACCTTTTTCCGGGAGAGTAAACTTGAGGCATGTTGGTGAACACAGTCGCTCTACTTGCTGGAAAAAAATGAAAATAAAGAGCTCAATGCTAATGTGCAGCATGGGGACCACTGTTAAATATATTGTATTGTATATTTGGAAGTTGCATTAGGGTGCCTGGCTGGCTCAGTCGGTGGAGCGTGCGACTCTTAATCTCAGGGGTTGTAAGTTTGAGCCCTACGTTGGGTGGAGGGATTACTTAAAAAATAAAATCTTAAAAAGAACAAGTTGCCAAGAGAGTAGATCTTAAAAAGTCCATCACAAGAAACAAAATTTGTGACCAAGTGTTGTGATAGGCGTTAACTAACCATGGTGAACATTTCACAATATATACAAATATCAAGTCATTATGTCATACACCTGAAAATAATAGAATGTTACATGCTAATTTTATCTCAGTTTAAAAAAGGATTCACTGACTTGCACTATTAAAAGAGCTGAAGTCAAGGCTGCTTTGTGGAAGTGAGTACAAAGAACTTATAACTATGAGAGATTCATAAATACAATAGTTATCTTCCTTTTAGGAACTTTCCTGGTATCAGAATTCTATAGGTTATTTGTTGAATTTGACATTTCAGTCAACCCAATAAATATACAAAAGGAAGCTGGAAAACAATGTTTGCTATCCAAATACGACTTTCCCTCTGCTATTTTTACAAGACTGGCACCAGGGTCCTATTTATGAGGTCCTGTTTTGTAATTTCAGGACTGAAATAACCAAGTAAATCTGTGTCTTTTAAGAAAAATAATTGAATGTGTGTGCACACACACATACTCCCTCTCTCAAATAAATCTTTTTTTAAAAAAAGAAAAGAAAAGAAAAAGAATTGGCAATATAAAAGCACTGTCTCAAGGGGTTGGTATGGGGCAGGCAGGCCCAGGTGTGAGGTGTGGGATTGGAAAGGCAAAGAAGGGACAGGGTGTGGGGAGGAAACGTTCAGGTCTCCTAGTCTGGTTGTTCTGTCTAGTGGGGTTCTGCCCAAAGTAGCATGAAGGCTTGATTTGAAGGGTTCTGGATTTGTTTTCCCAGAGAGCCAAGCAAGCGAGAGGCAGAGCTGACCTCCGGGAGTGCCTGCCCTGTCATCCTTCACCACAGCCCGGAACAGGGGCTGGGCCCTGTGGTCAGTGGTCAGCTCGCAGAACCTCTGTGAAGTTCTCTCATTATTCATTCGCTCGAACCTTGATTTTTAGGGAGGTCAGCTGGTACATTTTAGCTCTTCTGCATCCTCTTGGGTAACTGTATTAGTCTGCGCTGGCTGCCGTAACAAAATAACACGGGCTGGGCGGCTTAAACAGATTCATTTTTCGCAGTTTTGGGAGCCCCAAGCGCCAGATTAGAGTGCCTGCGGGGTCTGTACCTGGTGAGAGCTCTCTCCCTGACCTGCAGAGGGCGCCCTCATGCTGTGTCTTCACGTGGCATTTCCCAGGTGTGTCAGCAGAGGGCGAGCGAGGCAGAGCTTTCTAGCGACTCTCCAGTTAGAACACTAACCCTATCTGATCAGGGTCCTACTCTTATGACCTCATTTAACCTTCATGACTTCCTTGGGGGCCCCATCTCTAACTACGGCCACACTGGGGACCCAACATCGTAATATTTGGGGATTACAAACACGTAGTCCATACCAGTAACGTCTATACCTGCCCAGAGTAAAAGTACTTCGTATTTCGGAGCTGGATGGATAGACCTCTGCTCAGGCACATTTCGTTTTCCCATCTTGATTTCACTTCTTAGCCAGGGGGAGAGTCATAAATGAAAAAAGAAGCACAGGAGGCAAAATAATAATAATAATAATGGAATATTTCCAGCCCTCTTCTGGTCACAGGAACAGCCCCTCCACCCCCAAAATGTGACTCTTGAGCCGAGGAACTTGACCTGCCATCCACACCAATCTGTGCTCAGCCTGCCCGACCCCAGGACCGAGCCTGGTCCCTGTCCTTTGCAGCTCTTGTCATGAAGCAGGGGTACTAGAGACTGAATATTGTGTCCCGCCCCCAATTCATATGTTGAAGTTCTAATCCCCAAGGTGATGGTTTAGGAGGCGGGGCCTTCGGAAGTCATTAGGTGATGAGGGCAGAGCCCTTTTGAACAGGATTAGTGCTCTCATAAAAGAGAGCCCAGAGAGCTCCCTCACCCTTTCTGCCATGTGATGTTATGACAGGAAGATGGCCAGTTGTGAATCAGGAAGAGGTTCTCACTGCACTCCAGATCCTCTGGCGTCTGGATCTCGAACTTCCCTAGAGCTGTGAGGAATGAATGAATGTTGTTCAGAAGCCACCTGGCCTATGGTATTCTGTTCTAGCAGCCCAAACGCACTAAGACACAGAGTATGTGCAAACCGAGGCGGGGGGGGGGGGGATGTGTTCGAGGATGTGTGGATTGTTTTAAAGAAATGTCCAGATTCTGAACTTTCATAAGGACCCAGTACTCCTGGTTAATATCCCGGATCACAGTCATTCTACTTTGCAAAAGAAAGGGATGCTTCTTTTCACATGCAGTATCAGAGCAGACATTGTCTTCCCTTGGGTGCAAAAATGGAGACAATTCAAAATATTAGTGGAAGTATTAAAGAAAAGGAATGACTCTGATAACTCATAACTTAGCTATCATGGGGCTTCCGATTTTTGGTTTTAAGAAAATTGAAAGAGGGTTTAATTGAGTTATCAACTGACAGATCCTTCTAAATTATTTTTATTTTGATCCACCACTGTGTGATTTTAAAAAAATTTTTTTTAAGATTTTATTTATCCATTTGACAGACAGAGATCACAAGTAGGCAGAGAGGCAGGCAGAGAGAGGGGGAAGCAGGCTTCCCACTGAGCAGAGATCCCAACTGGGGGCTTGATCCCAGGACCCTGAGATCATGACCTGAGCTGAAGGTAGAGGCTTAACCCACTGAGCCACCCAGGTACCCCACCACAATGTGATTTTTTAGCCTATCACACAGGAGTTCAAAGAATGTAATCATACCGCTGTGATAAAACTCTTTCTAGGATTACCCAGTTAAATTTGAATTTTAGATGATTATTATAAGTACGTTTCATGCAGTGTTTGGGATATACTTAACTAATTATTCTTTGTTTACTTGACATTTAAATTCAACTTGATGTCCTGTATGTGTGGGGGACAAGGCGGGTTAAGTTTGACAACCCTATTCTATCCCCATCTGTATGACAAGATTTCTCAGCACTCAGAACGGTAACAGAGGAGAGCACTCGAGGCAGAAGGAAC